TATCTACTCTGGATTGGTCTCGACGTAGCGCCAACTTACTAGGTACCCCAGGAACTTTCCAGAGCCAACTCCAAAAGATTACTTAGCCGCATTCAACTTCAGTCTATATTCACGGAGAGTGGAGAACGCATCCTCTAAGTCCGCGATGTGGTCACTCTAGCTCCTGTTCTTGATCAACATATCGTCGATGTACACCTCCATGGTATCCCCATTTGTCGCTTGAACATTTTGTTCATGAGCCTCTAACATACAAAACCGGCATTCTTGAGTCCAAATGGCATGATCTTGTAACAGTAGACCCCCCTTTGAGTGATAAAGGCAGTTTTCTCCTGATTAAGCGGATGGAGGGGGATTTGGTGGTAGCCAACCTGAGTGTCCATGAATGTTATGCGTTCGTGTCCCATTGTGGCATCAACTAATTGATCCTCTTTAGGGAGAGGATAATCATCCTTGGAACAAGCCTTATTCAAATCCGTGAAATCCACATAGACACGCCACTTCCTACTCTTCTTTGTGCAGACGGTATTCAACAACCATTTTGGAAATTGCACCTCCCAGATGGCATCGACCTCTCTACCTTTTTGTTCACTGCCTGGGCATGATACAGTGTTGTACACCAAGACTTTTACTTGATGGACTTATGATTGGGATCAACGTGAAGTCTGTGAGTTACAACATCCGGATTTATGCCTTTCATCTTCTTGGCATCCCATGCGAACACATCTACATTCTTCCTCAATGAATTAGCCATCTCCTCATGTTTGGCTGTGGACATGGTAGAGCCGATCAGGAAGTATCTCTCCTCATCTCCCTCCCTCAAGGGTACCTTTCGGAGGTCTTCCACGAAACAGTTGTCTGGGTCAAACCGTAGCTCATCGATGTTTAGCCACTCAGACTGTAGTTTTTTTTTGTTCATCACTTTTCCCGAGGAATGCTCCTTCTCCTTGGAGATAACCCAGCTTTTATAGCAGCATAAAAATAACTTTTTATTGAAGCTTTGTCTCCACAAATCTCCATTATTCCCTTCGAAGTGGGGAACTTTAACTTCTAATGGTAGGTGGAGTGCACAACTCTAATTGATTGCAATCAAGTCCATCCCATTATTATGTTGTATGGTGAATCGAAGTCAATCACCATAAACTCTGTGTCGATCGTGACGGGCCCGACAGTGACTGACAAAGTGATCTTCTTTAGTGGCAAGACGAATGATCCGTTGAATCCGACAAGGGGTGTCTTGACAGCGGTAAGATGCTTGGATCCAAGGCCCATTCGCTTCAACAGATTGAGGTACATCACCTCTGAGGAGCTTCCTGAGTCCATTAGGACCCTCTTGACATCAAAGCCGCCAATTCATAGGGTTATGATTAAGGCATCCTCATAGGGGAGGACCTTGCCTGCTAAGTCGACATTCGAGAAGGTGATGCCACCTTGATCTGCCTACGATTTGTTACTTGTCTAGCCCTCATCTTTCTCTTCCACCTTCATAGAAGAGGCTACCCTATTCAGGTTGGACCTGAGAGTATTGGTTGTTGGCCTCTCCAGGAGGGAGACGTTGAAGACATTGTTGCGGACAAGAGTGTGGTCGTCAATGGCGTCCGTCTCCCTCGGCACCTCCTCCTCGATGTACTGTTTGAGGTGTCTCTTCTATACCATCTTCTCCAGCAAGGGCTTGTACACTCAAAAATCCTCGGTGAGGTGCCCATGTCCTTAGGGTACGAACACCTGAAATTCTGATTCTTGGTGGACGGATCACCTTGCATCTTAGGCGGCCACTTAAAGAATGACTCCTTCTTGATCTTACGCAATAACTTGTAGATAGACTACTTGAACACCGAATGGATACCTTTGAGGGAGTTCCCCGATGTAGGGATCAAACCTTGCCTAGGAGGGCCTCTTTCTTTCTCCTTTCCTTCTTCTTAAGAGCTGAACTTTTTTCTTTGCTCTCTGTCCACTCGTATTCAATCAGGGAGTACTTGTTGATGCGGGCCATTAGTTTGTCCATGTCCACCGGTTTTCCGTTTATCAGTTTGCCCATGACCAACCACTCCTCAATGAGATCAACAAGTTGATGGGCCAAGGGCCCCTCGAGACTCAGTTTAGTTTGGCCAGTTCTTTCTCTAGAATGGACCGAAAGCTCCTTATTGACGCTCTTAACGTGATCCTTTGAGCTCGGAATGGATGGAGTTGGGATGTCCATGTTCTTTTGCTAAGGACCTTTTCCTTTCAAACATGTATTCACCATGGTCACTGTCACCGAAAAACTTGGTCGCTTCCCATAGACAGGGCCAAATTGTCTGCGATGGTTCTCGCACAATAAATAAATTAACAGATCTCTTCATTGGTGAACTCGAGGTAACCTGAAAAGTGGAAGATCCCGTAGCAATTGGATGTTGCGACATCGTATAAGGAGTGACGATGAATCTTTTTCCAGCTATCTGGTCACTCTTGACTTATCAAGATGAGTCATGTCATTCAAAAAGAAAGGTTACAAGACCGCCAGAGTATTTTTTGGTGTGACCCCTCCAACGAATACCTTTGACTTGCATTTGTGAGAGATACTTATACCTTTTTAAAGTTAATCATTACAGACTTCCAGATCCCTTGGAGGGAAGGCTACTCGTTTGCTCATTTGGAAGACAATAGGTGGTGCTCAGACCTCGAGCAGTGAGCCTTCCTTTTCACGTGGAAGAAGTTTTTGCATTTAATACTCGAGCCTCTGTGCATTTAATACTCGGCTTCCTAAGTCGTCGATCAATAAATGCACCTCATTCTTTTGAAGGGAACATTTAATGTGACCTGATTATGGCTGCGCATGCGCAAGGTGGGGTCATGTCTTCTGTGCTTTGTACTTCGTTCTCTCTTTTCTATTGGTCATTGACCTACCCTCCTATCATTCTGGTTGCCTTGGGAAAGGGAATGTAACACCCTAATCCATTTAGTAATATTCAGAGTGCTAATTACCTCAATAACGAATATACTGAATCTTCATTAAATATCAGAATCACTAAACACCTCAAAAATAAATAAATAACCTCTTAATGACTGTTTAAATTACAACCAATCGAAATCTTTCATTCATTGATCAACCCGATTCTCCACTAAATTTTAAAGCTCAATAAATAATTTAAAACATAATATACAAAGTCAAAGGGCGAGACGATAATTTATTAACCAACCGATGACACAAGAGTTAATACAATAATTTATAGAGTACAAATATATTGAACCTGTCAATGAACTCGAACATTTGAACAATCAGATCAACCATGATTGAACTCTTGGTTAATCCCAACAACAAGCTACGCATCATTCAGTGCATTTTAATTCAATCATGTCCACCCCTCAAGGCCATGAACATGAATCACAATCATAACCATGCCACCAAGTATACGTCACGCACGAGTCGAAAAATCTCAAGTATTTCACCAAAGCTAATATTATAGCAATTAATGACATATACTTGCTGATATTTCAAACTATAATATCGTATATATACGTCAAACTATGAAATATCAAACTATGATATTTCAGCAAGTATACGTCACTCAAACGATATTACAATTCAAATACGAATAGGATGATATCAATAAAGTACTCTCTGCAAAGAGATTAAAAGAATACATATCATGTATAAACCACTTACCCAATTTTCAATAGAAATCAATATTTAATACATGAGAATATCATATTTGAACTTCAATTCGAACGGATCAAAAATCTCGATTCAATTCTCTTGTAAAACTCTTCGTTTGGATCTCTTTCTCCTTTTCTTTGTTTCGGCCAACAACTTCTCGTTTTCAAAACTTCCATCTTTTTCCTTAAGTTTCTATCCACTTGCTCTTTCCAAGGCACACATAGAATATTAATTTGCTTCTCTCTAAATGAAAGCACACAAACTTTCATTGCATGAATCATAACCGCCACCTCACCATCTTTATCTTCTTATTTTTTTTCTTCCTTCTTTTGTCTTCTTTAAGTAGGTTATTCATGTTAACGATGTCTAGCAAACAAAAAGGGTATCTTCAATTATAGTTTGCAACCCTTTAGTTTCATTAATTATAGATATGCAATAAAGTTTAATATTAATTATGTTTTTCTCCACAAAACTTTATATTGTTTCTACTTACTTAAATTCAATACTTCTATTAGAAAATTCGGGATCTCACTGGAAAACTGATGGTTGACAACCAACTTTACTCCCAAGCCACGATAACTGTCAAAATAACTAGTCATACTTAGTTGGTAGAGGACACTGAACGCCAAGGACACGTGTTGAGTGGCCTAGGCTCCGAGGGTCCCTAGCGTCGAGGACACGTGTCAACACATGGATGCTTCAAATTGTTAGTGTTGTGGACATGTGTCAGTTACAGAGAACTTCCAAGGGAACACATGCTGAGAACACGGGTCAATGCATGAGACGTCCAAGGGTGCTGTTGTGCCAAAGACATGTGTTGCTCACAAAGAGATCCGTGGGGATTCACACCAAGAATATATGTCAATTCACGGAACGTCCACATTTATTATACCAAGAACACGTCTTGATTCCATGCTAATTCACAAAAACGTCCCATCAATTTACTTAAGTGGAAAATATATTCGTTAGAGGTAAACATCTACAAGTAAAGGGTGCCTTTACAAAAAAAACTTTAGGCACCTGTAAAAAGCAAAAACATCTCAATGTCGGGAAATTAACTTGTTAGTTCTTTACCAAAGCTTAACAACAGTGAGGTTTTAGTACCTCAATATGTCCTGAGTCAACCATAGTACTCAAAGTGTAAAGGTGCAGTTGTATGATTAGACTTTCTTTTATAGTCTCTCTCTCCGGGTACAGTGCATTAATTCGAGATGATTAGTCGGTGAACTGTACGGATTCCGTCTTTCTAGAAAGAAGACTGGTGATTTGATGACCATTGACAGCACGGGCGCCGTTGGATATTTCTTAGGAGAGAGATGGGGGAAGACTTAAGACATGCTATAGTGCTGTACGGTTATGGCCAGATATGAAGTAACTGTGTAGATAGATCCCACAAAAGTATTTAGCAAAATGGGTAACCATGGGAACAAGGATTATCAGCTGCACTTAAAGGGTAAAAATCCCACCAGAGGCAGTGAAGAAGGGATCAAGGTGAAGTACATATCAAGCCCTGTGATGGTGAAAGCCAATAACGCTTCCGAGTTCCGAGCAATCGTTCAAGAACTCACCGGCCAAAACTCCCACATCAGAAGCCCCGGCAATGCAGACACAATGGTAAGCAATAAATCTAGCCAGACTCATAGTCATGGGACTTCCATTTCACAACTGGTTTTCAAAAACTGGAGTACATGAATACTTGAACACTCTATCATCATTGGAGATTAATAAAGATTTGTTCTGGGGAGAAGCTTCAGAGAGCTTATCCAGCTTACATTTTCATCGCCAGCAGTGGTTTTATCTTTCAACAGTTATTTCCTTGGAGTTCTTGTTGATTTTATTCCTGCTTATAATTCCTAGTAAAGAATAATAAATCCAGAAGATTTCCGGTACTGCTTCTTACATAGAGCTATCCTTTTATGTCAAGTTATACAATTCTGATCCTCTGAAAATTACAACTGAAGACTTATTTTGGAACCAACTAGAAATAGTTTTCATATTGGGTTTTTACACATGGAATGTAGGGCGATGATAATCACTTGTCCGGTTAAGTGATGGGCACGCGTTCAAATTTTGTAGAGCTTTTGGGGTAGCCTAGGAGGGCTCTTGTGATGCAGGTTAGTCTGAATAAAAGACGAGATTAAATAACACAAATTTTAATTTGTTGATTATTACAATAATATTAGATTAAAATCGTCATTAGCTTTGTTGATTTACGAAGAATACTAAATCAATTAGAAGAAATAAAAATTTATCTCCCAATTTATTTTAAATAATCAAAAGCTGTTGAATTAATTTTTCAACACAATATAAATATAAAATCATAATTGTGCTAAATTACTAGGATAACCAAGTAATAAGTAATATTACAAAAATATCCCAAATAGCGGAAGAAAATGAAAAAACATGTCTAAAAAGTGTAATAAACATCATTTTAAACGATGGAATGAAAGATAATTTTTTTTAATCTTACTTAAATCGTCGAAAGCTATTCGAAATGAAGTTTTCTAAATTTTTTTGACACTATTACTCAAAATCAGTTCTGATTAACATTCGATTAACACTGCTTTCGACAATGTTAATCTTTCGCTTTGTCAGTTCTCTACTATATGCGTTACATCACCTTGGCTCGAATTCTTCGCAGATGAAAACAAAAAGAAAAAAAAATTGGTGGCAGGCTTGGGATACGTTGAATTATTACCATCATATTTGCCACGGCCACGGGCCAGATTTTCCAAGGCGCGGGCTTGATTGTTTTGATAAACTTAAAATTGCTGACGTCATGCAAACTTTTTTTCTTATTACCTATAGTACCCTTCTACTCTTCTCTCTCTCTCTGGTTACACACACAAGACTGTGACACACGCCCATAAAACACCACACTAGTGACCCACTTATAACACACACTCAACAGACAACTACACCAATGATCCACCAAGAAGATACCACCTCCACCACCACGACATCTATCCATTCAATCGTTACATCACTTATACTGTCACCAAAATGCTGCATCACTGCTCTATGTCTATTTATATAAAAAATTAAAATCAAAGCTATAGTCTATTATATATATATATATATATATATATATATATATAGTTTCCATATTAGATTTTACTATCAAATCTGTCATATTTAATTTTTTGGTATGTACTAATATTATGATATTATAATACGTACCAACAATAATTTACAATTTAATCAATCACTTTTACAAAAAATGTAATATATTTAGATGTGCAAATACTTAGTAATTAAAATCTTACAATGAAACTTTAGTATAAATAAAAGAGGAAATGTCTAAAACAATTGGCGAGATACCTAAAAAAAATGAAAGATTAGGTAATCAAAAAAGGAGCAAAACAAATTACTAATTAGGTTTTGTAATAATTAAAATAATAATTAATTATTAAACATATAATTTATTATTCAGTTAAATTAAAAAATTATATAATTTTTTGTAGAAAAAATTAGTATTTAAATATTTACGTGCAATACAAGTCATGCATTACTAATATAGATAAATACACATTTATGTGTGTATTAGATCGATGAGTCTTTGGTCTAATCATATTCTTTACTTTGTGAAGACTTTGTCTTCTTAAGGTCAATGGATCAAATCCCCTCTCCCTAAAAAAAAAATCCTTTTAAAAAAAAAATTATATCTGGTCAAATATAATATATGGGTAAATATTAAAGTTTTGCAAGTGCAAATTAGTAAAAGGGCCGCTTTCGTGTGTTGTGTTAGTGAAGTTTTAGATAATACATAGGATCTCTTTGAAGATATGACGGATAAAGTTTTCCCTTGAATAAATGATCATTAGATATTTGCCACAGAATGTATTGTGTCTCGTGTGTTTGAACCTGTTACTTGTTACCAAATCTTATTAACCGAGTTTTTAATGACTCAAATCAGTCATGAGTCAACCATATCAAAGTCTAAAGCTGGCAATTGCGCGGGAAGACTGTCTTTCAAAGTCTCTCTCTCTCTCTCTGTCTCGGTCCCATGAGGAAGGTGTGTCTTGTCAGTCCTGTTCATCTTATGGTGCACTAAGTAGTCAACCACTTTTTTGGGCAACAAACTTGCTTACATTTCTCAATTTTCTTCCCATTAAAAAGGTATCACAAACTAAATGTCCGAAGTTTGAATTTCACCAGTTGTGATTGAACCCTCCTGCATATAATCTAATTAGGTTAAGTTCTAAATAATTATAACTTAATTGAGTTTATGATATAGATGATAAAACGACACAGTACTTGAATCGTTGGGATCGATATTGAGATAGTTCGGAGCGATCAAACAAGTTGAATTTTTTGGAATCACTTCTACATAATGAGTTTTGAAATATCCATGTTCAGCTAGAAATGACAAGGTAAAATGAGATGAGATGATACATTGTGGATTTCAGACAAATTCGTTCATTTAGGGCCTAAAAATCGCTTTTTTGTCCTTTTTAGTAATTTTTTGTAGTTTAATAACTTCATTGTCTGAAGTCAAAATTAATCGCTGTCAATTCTACCTTAATTTTGGTAATTAATAATTTTTAGCCGTATAATTCGTTTGGACCTTTCTTTTTTGACAAATTTTGTAATAATTACTTAATTATGTAATTAATGATAATTAGGTCACAATTTATTATTTCCTAGTTGTTATTAGGGTTTCTTACACTACTAGTTAATGTACATGTTCATGCACATGAACCATGTTGTACACTAAACGAAAGGCGACTAATCATATTGTGGTTCAGATCATAGTATATCTGTTGTTGAACACTTTTCTTAGCTGTTTGCAATCAAAACTTTTAGGTGCATAGGATTTTAAAATAAATATTGAAACATCGAAGCAATACTTGCACAAAAAGGGAATCATATGAATGTATAGACAAATAGGCTAATCATACATTTAACCCTTTCAAAGCTCAAAAGGAAGGTATACCGTCTTTATTTCAAAGCTTGTATAATTTTCACTTGACCAAGAAATTTTGAAGACAGTTCAATTTCCGACTATGGTTGGCAATATTTACAAAGCATCAAAAACTTGAATAATTAGTTTCCATTATGGAGTGTAGTCTGTTTGTGGGGTCATGAAAATTCTCACCTTAAAGGTTGTCTTAAGTAGTCAAAGAATATGAAATCAATATATTGTGTTTTACTTTTATTGTGAATGTCATGTTTGTTTTTCCCCCTTTAGGTATGAAATGGTGTCTTAACTTATACCATGATCATTGTCCGAATTACTTGTGAACTCATCGAGGTCTTGATATGTTTTTTTTTTTTTTTTTTGTGGTGACTTTGAGAACTGATAGTATATCAGGTTTTGATTTGTATTAACTTCAGCCAAGAAATTGAAGATGCGTCGAAGTGTACAAATAATAAACAGAGCAAGTAATTGTCTTCAATAGTTACAAGTTTAATACTTGCAGTTTATGAGATGGTTGGCTTCGTATGTCACAAGATAACACATGCTAAGCTAATCAATATTATAAGGGCCTTCATCTTTTGAAACAAGAAAAAAGAAAAAACAACACAAACAATCAAATAAAGCTACAATTTAGTGGGAATCTGAATTGAAACCATACCAAAGGGTTTGTAATTGTTGTATAGATAGGTCCAATCCCACTTGGTGCAAGCGCAACCACCTTAGAAATGGTTTGCAGTGTTGACAAGTTCAAAGGGGGAGAAACTACACAATTACAAAGGGGGAGAAAAGGCACAATTACAGATACAAAGTTTCTCTGATAAAAGGTCAAAAAATATATTCCTCAAAGAAATTGCAAAAGTCTATATGAAAAAGAACCATTGTTGTCAATTAAGTCTATTACAAAATGGTGTTCAAACTTGAAAATATTGGGATCCTTATTACTGCCTCCAACAGTGCCCTCTCAATTTCCCAGTGAGAGTGGCCCCTTACCTTTGCTAAATGCAAGTTTCTGTCCTTCCCATGATCAAATGACACACCTAGACCAACCAATTCTTTGATTTTATCAGATACTTTTGCACATACCAGTTTAACTTGAGATAATATTCAACTTGTCAAGAAAGAGAGCACATACACACTTTGCACTAATAGATTTGGTATTACGCGTAGAATGTAAGAACCATACATCATCAAAAAATTGCATTTCTGACTTTACATGAATTTGGGATTTATGATTAAGTCTGTAAAATGCAATTGTTAGTAGAATAAGTGCACTCAATTATTGAAGAACCACAGTCATGGGGTATACATCCAAAATTCTAAGTTTCAACAATAATTAGAATGACTATAACTATTCTATCTAGCTTCCTCACCAATATGGTAAAACCTAAAGAAATACAAATGCCAAAACACAAACATGCAGCCACACTAATACATCCTTTTGGCACCGATGAACGTAGAACTAACTGAAACAACAAACTAAATTAGAACATGGTGTGCATTGTGAACCAATAAAGAACATAAATCAGGAAATGCTACAATTAAGTCATTTTTCATGCCTTGTTAGCTCCATAAAATATTATATTTAAGACAATAAATCTATATGATAAATCAGATAGGTGTTTGAACTTATGAGGGTATATTTTTTTCTCCAAATTTCACACACCCAACACATACTTTCCCCCCCAAATCTCAAAAATCCAACACACAGCTGCACATACATACACACACTCAAACACACACATTCCAATACATGCAAAGTGTTATAATTCAG